CCACCATTTTTTGCTACATCTAGATGTAGTTATATTACTACATCTACTAGTTAGGAAAATTAAAAAAACATAAATTTGGACATGTTTTGCAAAAAAAGTTATGAAAAAGTAAAACGGCTATAACTTTTGCATACGATGTCGGAAAAAACGTATAATATATCAAAATGTTCAGCACGAAAATCTGCATCTGATTTTGACCATCGTCGGCTGTTTTGCAAATTTTTAGAATCCAATTCTAAAGAAAAAAAGTCATGCTCAAATTTCAGTTTTTTTTGAATTTTGGTTAAATCTGGTCAAACTATTTATTCAAAAAGTATTAGTGTTACTAAATAATTATTCAAGAATATTAGTGTTACTAAATAATTATTTCAGTTTTTTTTTGAATTTTGGTCAAATCTGGTCAAACTACTTATTCAAGAAATATTAGTGTTACTAAATAATTATTGTTTTTAAAATAATAGTTTCAAACTCAATCAGTGAAATGTGTGACTTCATGCTCAAGCTAAACTCCTGAGGGTTAATAGGATTGACATCTTACTATTATCAGGAAAACAACAAGTGCAAAGTTGGAAACGAGCAGGAATAGAACTCGGAAGTTAAGCGTGCTCAGGCTGAAGTAGTGAGGGGATGCGTGACCGGTTGGGAAGTTCGATGATTTAGAATGATGAGGGGTGATTGGAGATTAGAGGTTAAATTGAGCAGTGATGAGGGGTGATTAGAGATTAAATTGTAAAATAATTCAAAATTTTGAAAACCGAGAAAAAAAATCATAAAATCATAAAATTTCCTTTAGTCCCGGTTGGTGTTACCAACCGGGCCTAAAGGTGGAGCTCCAGAAAGCGGCCACGTGGAGGGCCTTTAGTCCCAGTTCATAACAGAACCGAGGCTAAAGGGGGGGGGGGCTTTAGTACCGACCCTTTAGAACCGGGACTAAAGGTCGTCTGGAACCGGGACAAATGGGCCTTTTTCTACTAGTGTTGGCCCCCAGGAGGTGTTCGATGATTTGGAATGATGAAGGGTGATTGGAGATTAGAGGTTAAATTGAGCAGTGATGAGGGATGATTAGAGATTAAATTGTAAAATAATTCAAAAATTTAGGCAAAAAATGAGCTACAAATTGCGCAAGAAAGTAGAGAGGGTTACCATCGTGGAATTGTCACGGCAGATGTCCTTAGTGTCAGGACTTAGTCGCGAGGCCAACGCATCTATGTGGTAGCTTGAGAGGGGTTGAGCGGGACGAGAGCGCGATGTTTTACCCAGGTTTGGCCCCTCATGGTCGAGGTAAAAGCCTACATCCTGCTTCATTGATATTGATGATGATGATCACGGTTACAAGAGTGCTCTATCTCGAGAGCTATTGTCTAAACCTAACTTGTCTAACTTGTGGAACTTGTGAATCTTGTCCCTCTTGGCGTGCCCTGCCCCTCCTTATATATGTTGAAGGGGCGGTTTACATGACCAGTCCTATTAGGATTAGGATTACTCTATCTCTAATACAAACCGGATATAAGTCCAGGTCTTAACTCCTTGTAGGACAAATATTCCTCATGCCTTTCCTCTTAAACCGGCCCACCGTTAAACGTGAACCGGCCTTCTGGGCTTTGGGCCTTGTCATCCGTCTATCCCGCACGCCGGATCACCAGTGAGTCATAATGACCGGGTGGGTTGCTTGTAAATCGCCAGGTCAGGGCGGGTCGCCAGTAACTCGCCAAGTGTCAGCGGGGTCTTCAGATAAACCGCCAATTCCTGGCCGGGTTAACTTCCGGCCGGTTTACGCCGCGGAGTATATCCCCGACATTAGCCCCCAAGTTTAGCTTGGATTTATTCATGGTAAACTTATACTGCAAAATAAACACAAGAACAAATTTGACAGGTTATGCTCCGGGTTAAGAATTTTTGTAAACCGGTACTTGATCATCCTTAAGTCCTTGTTATTTCCTCCTTCTGGGAAATCCGGGTCAACAGACCAGCTTCATAATCAATTTGCCGACACTGGTTTGTCACCGAGAAATATTGTGAAGAATAACTCCTTTGACTCAGCTCCCAAAGCGCCGGTTTAAGAAATATGGGTCTTGAAATACTTATCTGATATTCAGCCGGTTTGAAGATGTAAAACTTGCCGGTTTAATATTACCAAAATGGCCGGTTTATAAATATTGATGGCGCCGGGTCATAATTGTTGTCGACACCGGGTCATGTAATTGATCTTCCTGATTTGCTCAAGACTGATAAAATGAAGATGTTCCTTCTTTATATGCATAATACCTGTAGCCCCCAAGTCTTAAGAGGAGAACATAGTGATAACTTAAGACTTGCTCCAATAAGTGTTTCAACCTTGAAGAAATCTGATTAGTTCATCTCAATCATATAAACTGAATACTCCAGATATGTAGCCCCCAAGTGCCGGGTTGTCATGCTTGCAGCAACCTGGAACTTGTAATTGCTTATAAAAACTTCAATCATTGTAACCCCCAAGGGCCGGGTCATTATGCAATAATAAGCAGGAACTTTGTAAACATAATTATGTAGATTTTAGCAGTGATGTGTAGCCCCCAAGGGCCGACTTAGTAAGATAATACTGAACCGGGACTTGATATATACTTCAATGAAAATAACATATTATAATGTAGCTTCCATCGTAGGGCTTGAACCCACGTCCACAAGGTTAAGAGCTTTGTGCTTTACCAACTGAGCAATGGATTCTTTAATATTATGGACGAAAACTTGTGTACCTTGAATTGTTGACAGGAGCAATTGGTAGCCCCCAAGGGCCGGCTCATTATAATAAGACTAGTAAAAATGACTTTGCATTAGCCCCCAAGTGTCATGGTGCATGCTTGCAGCGACATGAGACTTGCATGTAATCTCAATTTGAATAATGTAGCCCCCAAGTGCCGGGTTGTAAGCCTGCAACGACTCGGGACTATTCCTTTCATTGTAGAATAAATCATATCCTTTGATAAAATAATAGCCATTGCGCTAAAGCGACTTTCAAAACTTAATAATACCGGTTATGAATAATCATAAAAATCCAGCCATGTTGGCTATTCAAGATAATATAATCCGGTATAAAAACCTTATTCATTCAATATCATAATGAAAATTCAGCCAAGTTTGGCTATTTGAATAATATAACTCAATAAGCGCATGATTCCAATGGCGCAATCCAAATATATACTGGCGACTTATAGTCCAAAGCTAGACCGGTTTAACAAACCTGTTTCTACATACAACAAGTTTAAAGTGTCCTGGCGGTTTACCGCCGGACGGGTCATAATGCCCAACATATAACCCGGGTTTATAACCAAGGCTGCCCTTAAGAATAATCAAATATGAAATAGATCATACCTGTGACATTGAATCACATTGTTGGTTTTACCAACTTTTTGTAGTAAAGGTGATAACCCCAATCTTGAGTACTGATAACTCCTTCCATACTGTGCCGGTTTATGATAAAACCGTGCCGGTCTGTGATAAACACCGGTTTACTCCATAATAGGATGGTAACAGAAAATCAAACCGGGCAGATAGTCTCCGGATTAAGATTTGACCGTGTTCCGTCAATTTGTAATTGACAGTTTGGGCCGGTTTAAAACTTTGTCGGTTTAAAAACGCAACAAAAATAAAAGAAATAGTTATCAAGGAAAATATTGAAGCAAAGGCAATGATAAAATCATGTGCAAAAAGAGGCTTATTTGAGCTGATCAGATGGCGTTATCATGGTCGGACATGACCAAGCTCCCGATAGGTGTAGCTATGGTTCAAGTCAGTCAGGTCCCCAAATGAAACCGTGGCATTTATGCCGATCAAGTGGCATGGCAATGGTTTGGGTTCGACCAAGCCCCCAAGTGATTCTATGGCCTTAAGCCGATCAAGAGGCATGACTGGTTCAGACGTGACCGAGTCCCCAAGTGATCTGGTGGCTCTCGCCTATCAAGAGGCGTGACTATGGTTCAGACGTGACCACAAGTCCCCAAATGATATTGTGGCTTTTCGCCTACCAAATGGCGTTGTTATGGTTCGGACGCGACCAAGCCCCCAAGTGATATTGTGGCATTGCGCCGATCAAGAGGTGTAGCTATGGTTCGGATACGACCAAAGCCCCCAAGTGATCAAGAATATGATAAGCCAATTAAGGCATATGATACCCATGTTTGAACCGTGCATCATGGCAGCAGGTCCTTTTTGGCACCCTTTAACTTTTTGCAAGAGATAAATCCTTCTTGAACCGGATGTTAAACCGGATATTGAGAGCTTCAGAGCTTCGTGGAAGACATCTTTCCCTTGAACCGGATTGTAAACCAGAATACTTTCTGATGACCCGGAAATTTTCTGACGGCCTCTTAAACTCGAACTTGCGAGAAGTTAATTCCTTTTTGAACCAGAAATTCTTAAATCGGATTTGAGCGCTTCAGAGCTTTGTGGGAGAACAGATTTCTCTTGAACCGGATTGTAAACCGGATATTTGAAAGCTTCAGCGAAACCGACTTTCCTTGAGCCGGATTTTAAACCGGAATCCTTTCTGATGACCTGGATCTTCTTCATTGAGCCGAGATTTTGTAACTGTCATATACTTTCTAAGCCGGAAATTTTCTGACGGCCTTTAAATTTTCATTAATATAACAGTAGCCTCCGGGACCGGGTTATCCTTCCCTCCATCGTCCTGGGGTTCTTAAATTTGCTAAAACTGGCAAGATTCGCTGAGTCATGTCATCGTAGCCCCCGAGTTTCAAAGGTGACTCGAGGAGTTGACTTGAGACTCTCCATATTTGACCATGATATAAACCGGCATAACTTGTATATCATTGGCGTTGATAGCACGACGTGAATCCATAGAAGGTTGAGGTGACTGCGGCGGGTTGTAAATGATCCCATATGAGCCGTGTCAGCAACTCGGCCAATGGTTCCTTCCAACTGGCGATTTGAAGTTAATCAAAAATGTAGTGGTGGCGACTTGTGCGCCCAATAAACAGCTCATGCAGACAGGTGCGGCCCGGTATGTTGATGTAGACCAGGCCGCGAGAGACGGACGACAAAGACGGCCGCAGCTTCAGAGACGACACAGCCAAATGAGTCGGCCGCGGCGTAGTAAGTCGGCGCGGACGGGAGAGTCGGCCGCGGGAGTTGTAAACCGGCGCAGACGGAGAGCCGCCTGCGGGTATTGTGAACCGGCGCGGACGGGGAGTCGCCT